CAAAACCCTAGCCACTATAGAAAACCCCAGCTACAGAATGGAATCTGTTCCCTCACGATTTACTCCAAAAGATGGTAGATAAGCATCTGTAGCTTTATACACAAAAGATTTATGAAGTAAGACAATAGTATATTGAACAAACATGGAACTAAGCGACTCACTGTATCTCTTTGGTCCATCTTCCAGACAGAAGGTGATTGTTAACATGGCATCATCCTCAAAAAACTCAGTGGTGAAGGCATCCCACCACAGATTGTCACATTCCTGTAGGCACAGAGAAGAGCAAATGCAAGACAGAGGTGCTATTAATGAATGGCATGTCTCTCCAAGTGAGTGGAATTCAACTGTTCCATATTGGTGAGCATTCCACATAAGTGATTAAATTCAAAGTTAGGGAGTATTTCTGGATCTATCCTTGTTGCTTCAGCAGGAAGTGGCCACTGCAGCCAAAATTATTTTTTGCCAACTTATGCTATTGGATACAGCTCGTTTCAGTGCAGTAATCCATCTATTAGTGATGTCTTCTTTAGATTACTGCAATACCCTTGGAGATTTCAATTAATACATAATGTTGAGACAGGAGTATTGACTATAAACACACAAAGGTAGTTTCCAATCTGCTTCCAGTTTCAAGTCGAAGTGTAGGTTTTATCTTATAAAGGGTTTGTTTTGCCATTTGGAACAACACTGTGAAGGAGGCTTCTTTCCATATTTTATTACCAGTAGCTTAAAATGATATTTGGAGGGTCTGCTCCAAATGCTTTCTCATTGAGGTACATTAAGTACATTAATTAGGAGGGGTTCTTTCCAGTGGTGATCCTTAAACTTTAAAATGTCTTTCTCTGGTGAGATATGCATGATGCCATCTTTATTTGCCTCTTCAGTGATAAGCAAAAATATTTTTATTCTCCCAGGACTCTTACTCATTCTTAGTTTGGCTGTCATTTAAATTTACTTATTGCTTCATTTCATTTCTATTATTGTTTTGTCATTTATCTTGCTGAGTTTATTTTATATTTTTCTAATGTGTTTTTATAAAACACTAGCTGATAACCTGGCGTTGCCCAGGTATTTATTTATCCCAATCTTGTATTAGACAGGGAAATCCTGTAGTCAGGACTCACGCTGTTATACTGTCTGTCATGCAGCATCACAATTCTTCTATTCCTCCATAAGAGGGAGCTCTTGAAGCCGTTAACATGGCTGAAGGCATTTTAAGGCACATTCACCCCCGAGGGGTGTTAGGAGTGTCCTAACCCCACAGTACAGTGGAACCTCGGGTCATGAGTGCTCCTATTTGCAACCAAATCGGGTAGGGAATGAAAAATCCACCTGATTTTTGAATCAGATCACGATTTAAAAATTGGGCGACAAAAATTGGAGCGGAAAGATTCCCCTTCCATGCCAATTTCCCCTTTGGTGGCATTTTTTTTGACTGCACACGCGCAGTGGGTTGCGCTTCCAGACACAACTACAGGGTCGCAACTGTAATCCGTTCCTGGACTCTGGTCACGACATGATTTGGAAGCACGACCAACTGCATATGTGCGCTATCAAAAAAATGGCACCGATTTTGTTCGCCACCTGATTTGGTTGCAGATAGGAGTGTTCATGACCCGAGGTTCTGCTGCATATGACAGAAGAGAGGAGGAGGAAGAAGATAGAAAGAAGAAATAGAAGATAGAAGATGAAGAAATATTAATTAATTTAACATACATGCTCATTAATTTTACTTATTATTTTAATTATTAATGTAATTTTAAATTATAAAATGTTTTGAGACATCTATTAATGGAAAATGATACAAAAAAAATTAAAGTAAGTAAAATCAGTTCTCAAAAGTTAAATAAAAATCAAGGATGATTAATAGCCACAGTCCTTTCCTCTCTTGTGTAATCGTAACAGCTTTATGTATCCCTCCAAAGCTTTTCCCTTTCTTCTAATTCAGTCATACAGAAGCCACAGTAACATACCTCTGTCCAGTTTTGCAGCCGCTTATTGAGTTCAAATATTCTGTAGTCAGTCTGGTTTCCATACGGTGTGTGTCTCCTGTCAAACAACCATAGCAATTACCTAACAAAAAAGCCATTTATCCAAGAAACCTGAGTGTGCAAAATGTTTTTTTAATGTTTTTTTTTGGGGGGGGGGGAGTGGGGACACATAGATGCTATTGTAATCTCAAACCATATTTTCCTGAAACATTTTATCTTATTTGAATTTAAAAAATTAAATACAACTTTTATGTGGTTCTTATGTGTAGCTCTGCTGAAAAATAAGAAAAATATTATTAAGCAGATGGAACAGGAAATAAACTTGTTACTTACCTTTAAGAACAGTTCTTTCAGAGGTAATCTATGAATTCGCTCACTTAGGTTGTGCACCTTCACAGAACCTTCAGGAGCTTACAGAAACATTTAGAGGAACTACACTGAACCCCTTCAGTTCCTAACAACAGCACAGTGGGATAAAGAAATAGCCAAATCACCTCAGAGATAATGAGGTAAATTAATAGGCAAATCAACAGATGACCAATCAAAGAAATGCAATCACAAATAAGTACCCATTCTTCTTCATCATAGTCCTTGTGATTCAGAAAGATTGCTGATTAGCAAACTCCTTACTAGGAACATGGTTTGGCCCACAAAGATGACCAAGAGGAGAGCTCTATAAAGGCTGCATCCTTTTAGAAGCAAAATTTCTATAATAAGGGATGAAGTTTGAGACTATGCACCCTGTCCAGCAAAGTTCTGAGACATCTATTAATGGCAAATGATACACAGCTTTCCTGTCTCAGAGGAAGGCTTCTGGTCTTGCTGTTGAGGAGAGCATAACAGCTCATAATAATCCTTGATGGTTACGACCAACCATTTGAGCAGAAAGCCTAAGCTTTGGACCTGGCAAAAGGATGCCATAAAGTCCAAGTAAAAGACAAAAGTGTAACAGACATCCAATAAATGGAGCAATGTTTCCGGTGACATTAGAGGGGGGGGAAAGGGGGCACAATTATGTCAAAGTAAAAACAGAGACTGTTTTGGCAGCAGGAAATATCTAGGCAATATTCATCCTATGAAAAAATGAAGAAGGGAGTTTTCTTTGTAGGATGCAATTTTTTAGCCTGTTGAGCTGATGTCATAGCTACGGTCAAAAGAAAAGAGCCACATTCCAGGATGGAATGGGGAGCAAGAATTATCATACATTCATATTCAGGGAAATTTAATGGAGTTACCACAGTTCCAGGGAGCACTTATGTAGGTTGCAGAACAAAACACTGAAGTTGATTGTCATATGAAGAATGCAAGCTGCCATGTGAAGAGCTGAAGAACAGTGTGGGCTCTTTTTGCTAAAGAAAGGATCTTATGCATACATGCTTGAAACCTGCAAACCCATGATAATGATATCAAGGCAATTTCTCTGACAACATAATCATTGCCCCTGTAAATTGAATAAACTATGAGGGAAGAAGGAAACTTTTTCATAACTGATCTGAACACTAAGAGGATGAAAGGGAGAAGGACTCGGCAGGATAACTTTGCAAAGGAGTATATAACAGTCATCTACTTAAGGGAATGGACTGATGACTTGCAGATAAAGGAAAGCATAATAACTCCATTAACTTAGAAAATACGTTCAGGGCCATAAAAGGGCAAATTTACTACAAAATGGTAGTAAATTAACACAAAAGTAAGTACACTACAAAAACATGAAAATAAGCATCCTGCAGTCTATAAAAGGTCACATTTCATTTTGTAGGAGGAGGGAAGTGATAAATATTCTAAAATAAATACCTCAAAAGATAAGTGAAGTGATAAAGTCTAAGTTCACTATCCTTACTAATGTAAAATAGTTGGACATGAGTGTGGAAATATTTTCTTTTGGAGAAGTATTCCCAACTGCTTATTTTTGCAGGAATTTTTTTAAAAGTTTTATTAGATTTTTATTTTAGGTATACTTCAATATCAATACATGAACACTGTGGCCCCTAAGTATAATTCATTTTGATACAAACATCAATAATGATAATCATAATAGTTGTTATATTAATCAAACTTATATAATCCTAGTAGTAATATACATGGTTTTTAGAGCAGTTATTCAATTATTTCAATGTTCCATTTTAATGCCAATGACATTATAAACATACATAATACCATCTTTCCACCAGATCTTTCCCATCAAATTATTACTTATATTCTGTTATATAAAAATTACATCTGCTAATATTCCTCCTATTTCTTATTTCTACCTCTATTCTCGCTTCTAATCAAGTCACCATTGCTAATCCTAGTGTTATTATATATGTTCATACTAAGACATAGTCCTTCATTCTTTTGTTATTCAAAGTCACAATATGCCATTCAAATACCAGCCTTCCTATTATTTAAATATATCTAACAATACCATCTTTCAAGGAAACTTCTGATACCATTCCAGTTATTTTGAAATCAAGAGGGCAGTTTGGTGTTGAGTTGGGTAAAAACTTAGTATATATAACTTTGAACAACACATATTAACAGTTCAGAACTTACATTATTTGAAAAATACTCAAATTGACAGTTCCAGTATCTGGCAAGAGGGACTGATATAGACTGCTTGGCCTTCTATATGAAAAACCTGAACCTCCATCTTTAGACCAAACAAGAGCAGAACCATAGAAGTTAATGAACAGAAATGAAAACTGGTTGCTATAGACAGCTTTCAAGTTGCTGAATGAAACACTTTGGACCCTATTCAGGATTAGTCTTATTGCCAAATAGACAATTTCCAAAATGGATGGTCTTCAGTTCTAATCTTAGTCTCCAGTGAAAGACTAATGGAACAGAAGTAGACGTAATAATGCAAAAAAAATAAAAAATAAACATAATCTTGACTAGAGAATCAACAATAGTAAGAGTATTTAGTTTCTCCTTGGCAAAACAAATCACTTCTGTTTGAAAAAGTTGGAACTAGATAAGAAAGCAAATACTGGCTAGCTTAGACCAGGAGTCCCATCAATAAGACAGAAGCATCAGAATAAGGACTGATGAAACAGTAGTATTTTGGACCATTTTGTATATCAGGTCCTCTATTGTTTGAGAACTACTAAATCGCAAGACCAAGAGATGTATAATCGGATAGAAACAGAAGTCTTCTAACCAAAGAAGTTCAACTTGTGCATTGAATAACAAAGTAGAAAGAGATATCAGAGGATTCTCTGGAAGCATAATAGTCTGTTAAAAAAGATCAGCAGATTGAGAGAAGTCCATTTTGCAAAATTTGATGCCACCAAACCCAGAATTAGAGAGCAATGAGCCTTTATCCCATTTTTTTTTTCATGCTTGGAGCAGCACTTTTAGAAACCCTTTGAGTCCTTAAAGGGAAGTTTCATTGGTCCCCAATAATGGCATAGCAAAAATGTGGATGGTGAGGTTTTGCCCATCTCTTGAAAGAGGCAAAGGAATCGCCCAACCAATTTTGGGACGTAACAAAACACTTAGATGATGAAACTACAATAACTTTAAAATTTGCTGCCCTTAGAGCTTGTTCTGAAAGAGAGATTCACCAACATGAGAAATAATTACAGTGAACTTATCCTATAGCCTACTCCAGGGAAAAAATAGCATAATTTATGCCCATCCAGAAGAGGAAGTTTATTCCTACAACATTGAGCCATATGAAATGACAGGCTAGAAATCTATGACACATGTCAAAAATAACTTTATATTGTTCCAGTACAGTTGAAAGGATGACTACAGACAGTCCTCACTTAACTGGGACTGGCAACTTTGATGCTAAGCAACAATAATTAAGCAAGATATAATGGGAGCAGAATGGACTTATAACCACATTTCTGCTGTGGTTATTAAGTGAATCACACACAGTAGTTAAGCGAGACATCGTGTGATTGTAATTTGCAATTTTATTGCTGGCTTCTCCATTGGTTTCACTGACTCTGCAAAATGACAATCCTATGACTGCAGGACACTGTAACTGTCACAAATATCTGCTGTTTGTGAGGTGCCCAAATCTCAATCACATGGTCACAAAGTTGCTGCAGCAACAGTCATACTGCAAGGACAAGTTGTAAAGTTACCTTTTCAGTATCATTGTAACTTTGAACAGTGCTAAATAGGGCAGTTAAGTGAGAATTACCTAAAACATCTTAAAATGAATTAAGGCAGTACAGCAGAACCTGCATTAGCTAATTAGTATGGACAGGGTAGGACTCTCGCTAAACATATTTGTAGCCTCTAGAAACTTCTAAACAGGGCTTTGTACACAAGTGCTAATGATTATCTCAGGAGTGCAAATCACTAAATGCTGATGTTTTTGAATATTAATAGGATTTGATTACTTCATGGGAAATTTTAAATTCTTCTATCCTGATTATAAAGATTAAGAAATCATTTTATATATATCTAGAAAATATTTTGAGAAAATAAATTGTTTAGAAAATTTCTAAATGATTTTTCTGGGGTTTTGCAATTCCAATTCTGTAACTTGCAGAAAATTACAAGTAGTCTTTGACTTAGGACAGTTTGCTTAATGATCATTTGACGCTACCATGAGCTTGAAAAATGATCTGTTCTAGAAATCGTGACTGCTACACCACCCACCGCATGGTCACATGACTGCATTTCAGGAACTTGACAATTGGCTTACATTTACAATTGCTTGCAATGTATCTCTGGAAGCAATTACATCAGTTGGAAAGTTATGGAATTTTAATAGCCTAGCAAATTGACTTTTTGGAAACAACCAACTTTAAAAATTGGAGAAGGATGGTATAAAAATCAGATGGAAGTGGGTATATTAACTTCATCTAAGAGATGAAGATGAATTTTAACATATTTGGTGTTAAGAGGCAAATACCATATCATCTATCATATATAGCCCAATGTTACTTATTGTATACAGAATACAGTATCGAATAAGGTAATTGTTCAAATGAAATGCATACATACTTGAATGTTTGCATCAGACCAGTATATATAGAATTATAATGGTTTATTGTTGTAACACCATATCATATTATGTTTCCTTTGCCATATTTCTTTCATTTTGTTAAAACACTTTTTGTTTTTTTCCTCTTATCTCTGGCAATATATGTTTCCTCATCATTATTATCTTTATGCTATCTGTATTTATTTCTTATAAATAAGAAAATAATAATCACAAAATCATTTTAATCAGATTTGAAATATTATAATTTAGCTGTACTCTGGTGAGTATTATAAGAAGCTTTTTCAATTTTATTCCCTCCCCCCCCCCCCCCCCCCCAGTAGGACCAACACATTTGGAGGACATTAAGTTGAACAAGGATACACACAGACTTTATATGATATCTTACCCAATCCCTGGCTCCAGGTATGTTGGTGGATACATAGGAGTTGGTCTACAAAGAAATAAGCACATACAAGATTAATCAATCAAAACCCCATCAATTCATTTCATTACAAAGCAGAGTGTATCCCAGACAAGTAACTTTGGAAAAGGGGAGGGGGGGAGAACATGTTTTACCAATGTCCACCTCCCATTTCAGATTTTATTTCTTAGCTTAGACTCCTCCTGTGACTTCAAAGGTATTGAAGTGTTACTATTATGGGGTATTATTATGATCACCATACCTTATAACACACCGAGTGCTGTAGATAATTCATACTGTATTCAAACATGTGTACATCAGGCTAGATGAAGGCTTTTTAAGCTACAACCCCAATTAGATCAGTTCGACTATTACTGGCAAAGTTCACAACCAAAAGTATTGCAACAAAGTTCACACCAATGGAGAATTATTGAGGAACAGCCAAAATATAATTAAAGAAAGTTTGCCTTGGAATATTTGAAATGATTTAACAGTGACGTATCTTAGTGAACATCTGTGGAAAATACTTTTTTTGTCCTTTTGCTTGTATTTTGGCATTTTTTAAAAGAAAAGAAAACTAAAGATCAGTGAAAAAAAGGAAGCAGTCAGATAAAGAGTTCCTGTTTTGTTTAAAAATACCACAACTTGATAACTTCTTCAGAAGGGAGGACATATTTTCATTTCATTTATCAAGACTTGGTGTGAATGTAGTGCAATCATACCAAAGGGAAACTATATTCCCTTCCCCCGGAGACTGATCCAAGAGAAACCGGTTATCCAAGCCTTTTGAATCTGGCCATTCCTACACCATGGAGATCCCACTGCTCTGTCAAGGAGTTTGATAGCCTGTTTTGTCTGGTAAGAAGTGGCTTGGGAGTTTTGATTCTTATTCTTCCTTCTCCTTTTTACATGCAGGCAATTCTCATGGCCTACATCATATTCAGGTCGTTAACTCTGCTATAAGAACTGCAGAGGTGGATTTCTGTCCAAAATTCCAGCAAGGAAGTTCGCTCTATTTTAAGACTCACATTTACCTTCAGGTTCCTCATCACTGAAGAGCAGTATGTTATAGGTCAGTGGATCACTGGATAAGATAAGTGGACTCATTTTTCCAACAATCACACAATTTAACTGACCTGGAACTTCCTACCACTTGAAATCCATTGTTCCAGACTACTGATATTTAAACTGTGCTCCTAAGAATGCTAGCAGAATATAAATAATCACGAATTTATATCAGCACAAAATAGTACCTTCAGTGTCTCTGCATGATTAATAGTGTTGGCCTAGCCTCTTTCCAATCAAGAATGGATCTTGAAAAAAAAGAGCTGCTTTGTATCCTGGATAGCCTTTTTTTTTTTTTTCCCTTACGGGGTTTCTCTAATTTTAAATTCAAAAACAAATCAAGCACACTTTGCCAGTTGAAAAAAAATATAAAAATATAAATTAAATATGAATGGAGGAATGTTTTGTATTTGATTTTGATTCAATTGGGAAGAAAACAGTATCCTTAACAGTTTTATTTCCTGTATCTTAGCAGCCATAATGACCACCTCATTTCCAAAGTAATCAATGTTGGGATGATTTCCATAAATCATTACACTAATTAGGTTGACAATGTCTGGTTAGCTGGGCAGAGAGCTTGCAGGCCATATCCAGGTTGGCTAAAAGGTACATACTGTTCATGAATGATCTTTGTCAGTTTTCAGAACCCATGTCATTCATCTCTTCTGATCTGGAATTCAAAGTCCCTTCTGTGGCTATAAAGATTATGCCCCATAGCTGAACATAAGCAGGTTTGAGATTTGATTGATTTTGATCAAGAACATCCCAATTTTGCACTAAAGGCACTTTTCTCTTACCCCACATCTCGATCCAGCATAGTGCCTGAGTGAAAGGGGGTGAAGGCGTTGCCGTTTGGGGGCTCCTTTGGAGAGTACAGCTTGAATGACTTAGAGGAACAGCCTGAAGGAGAGAAAAAAAGGCCATAGATTAATGAATGCTACTTAGAAAAAAATGTAACATTTGTGGAATATCATTATGAAGTTACAGACATGCTAAGACTCACCCTGCAGGTCTGTTTCATGTCTTCAAGTTCCTAATAGAAGTACTTAAATTATTAAGGTAGCCCACTAATGTCATTTCAAACAGCTACGTGTAAAGGAGGACAGTACTTGATAAAACTCTAATATTTAAAGGAAGCATTTTCCTCTATTGCCTTGATAATTCTTCTGGGAATTTTAACTGAGATCTACAATTAATAAGCAGCATTTTTTTTTCTGCTCAGCCAAACCTACTGTAGATAAACAATTTTGATTTTTGTTAGATGGTACAACCCAAAAGTAGTACCGTGTTTCTCACAAAATAAGGCCGGGCCTTATTTTTTTTTTTGAGCCCTGAAAAAACGTCTAGGACGTCCTTTGGGGGATGAATTAATCCCCCCCACCTGCACCAGCGCCGTCTCTAACAACAGCATCTGAGTTGCTCCCGCTTTTCCCCCATCCCTGTAACAGCAGGGAAAAGAAAAAGATTTTGAGGTACCTGGAAGCGCCGCACGCTGCGTTTTGGTTTAATCCCGAGCGGCTGGGTTGGTGTGAGAAGAACCAAGCGAGCGTCTTTGCTGCTGCTACCCTTGGTGCTCCAGCCTCGGGCTCTGCAAGTTTGCAAAAGTCCCAGTGCATAGCCCGTTCCTGCATTCCAAGCGCCCAGGCCGTGCTGCAGCTGTCCCTCTCTTGCCAGCGCCGTCTCCAATAACAGCAGCAGCAGTGGCGGGAACAGTGGAAGTTACGGAGGCGGCTCCCCCACCCGAGAAGTGGCTGAAACGCTTCCACAGTACCTGCCGCTGCTGCCGCTGTTGTTGGAGATGGTGCTGACGAGAGAGGGACAGCTGCAGCTCGGCCTGGACCCTTGGAATGCAGGAACGGGCTGTGCACCGGGACTTTTGCAAACTTACAGAGCCTGAGGCTGGAGCACCAACGGTAGCAGCAGCAAGATGCTTGCTCGGCTCTTCTCATGCCCACCCAGCCACTCTGGATTAAACCAAAACGCAGCGTGTGGTGCTCCCAGGTAACTCAAAATGTTTTTTTTTCCTGTTATTACGGGGACAGGGGAAAAGCGGGAGCGACTCAGATGCTGTTGTTGGAGACGGCGCTGGCGAGAGAGGCGCCAGCACCGGTGGGAACTGTGGAAGCTACGGAGGCCTGAGAAGCAGCTGAAATGCTGCCGGACATCCACGCTGACGCCGCCCGCCTGCTGACCCAGGTAAGGGAGGGGTAAGGGAGCCCTCTGTGCTCCACCATGATTGGCTGTTAGGAGTGGCTGATGGTGAGGCGTAGCTGCCTGCGGGGCACTCCTAATGGCAAGTTCCCCCCCGCCTCCCCCCCCAATTTCACATGTTTTAAACTAGGCCTCAATTTGGGGGAGGGGCTTAATTTCATTTTATGCCTAGAAAACATGCTGGCTCTTCCTATTGGGGGGGGCGTACTCTTGGAGAAACATGGTAATATATCACAGACATGTACTTCAAATCAATGAGACCAACTAACAAAATTAAGCAACCAATTAGCATAATGTAGGATAATATTTGTGGCAATATACACCAGTTTCTGTGTGATGTTGATGTATACATTCACAATTATCAGCATAATGTTTTTTGGAAGATACATTAGTTTCCTCAAAAAATAAACACAGAAACTAGAAATAAATGGTGACAAAAGGATTTAATACATAATCCATACTATCTGAGACAAATAAATGTTTCAAGAGTGTAAATTCATGTATTTCAAATACATATTGATACATATACAAGAAAAGTTGCCTAGATCCTTTTGATCTTAGTGGGGTATAAAAATTGCAGCCTTTAGTACTCAGTGTTAGGAAACTCTCATATTATAATCCAATTTGTACCTACGATTACTGTAACTCTAACTACTTGGATTGTTCCGAGTTTATAGATGGTGTTTCATTCTGCACAAGATTACAAGACATGTGATTCTGCTTGCTGACAGTTGCAGCTTTAGCACAATGATGAAAATCCTCAGTGTAGAGTCTATTTTCATATTCTAACCTTTCTGAAATTGTTTATGGGCATATGATTTGGTACCATCAAAGCATTTAACAGAGATAAGTTTCAAGATCATTTTGGAACAATATCTTCCCTCAATGAAAGGCAGGTTAATACCACTGTTGGGTGAACTATTGGGGAGTAACTCCAAGAATACTAAATATGGTTTATTTGAATTTTCTTTTATTGAAAAAAAGGAAAGCATGTACTATAAGGGGCTTACCCTGGATTTGAGAATTCCTGCCAATGCCAATTTATATGGAACATATTATATAAGGCTTCAGTTCCCAAAGGCTACTATTGATCCTATACTCTAGAAAAGCATGATAGAATAGAATATTTTATAATTACAGACCTCAAGAGTTGGCAACTTCACAAAACTCCCCAAAGATAGGAACAGTAATCTACTACAGATTTGATTAGTTCATCAAGTCACATTCATTCATTTTTATTGCCTGTAACCACCATGTTCTCCCAAGGAAGGGATGTTTTGCAGTTGGGTTTTTAGTGCATATTTCAATAACCAAGGCTAAGACTGTTATGGCTTTTTCTCAAACCATATCAATTTCAGAAAAGCGCACGGGGACTGAGGTAGATGCCATTTAAACATAACAAAAACAATTGGTGGATTATCCTTTAAAACAGCAGTGCGATTCTAGAGATATTCTCTCAGCCAGCCAACAAATGTCACTAGAGGGCTCCATGTGCTGCTCATCAATTTCCTCTATAATCAATGCATTTCACTGACAAAGATTCCAGTTTCTTTCCCTTCCTCCCATTCCATTTTTATGGATGTGATGAATTTTCCACTCATTCCCTTTTTCCTCATTTAAATCAACAGTACAAAGCTAGGGCTTGCCTTTGTTCTTCTAGAAGAAGCAACATGCCAAAACATTAGCAGCTCTTGGTAAGCAAGAAAGACCAGTTCTACCCAGGGCAGGTGCCATCATGTCTATATCACACATGTTGCGGTACTCATTTTCTCCATTCAAGTATAGCTATTGGTACTGAGTATTTAATTAGTGTTGGGAATGCTTAGCTGACAATTGCAGAAACATGATCAATAGTAAGTAAGGTGTATGAACTTAATTCAGCTGCAATGGATGCACTATTGGAAGACTTAAAGAACCAGGCTGGGGACTGATCTCCATGGAGAAAATCTATATGGCCACTAAGAATTGTCACCAACTTGTTGGCATGTGATAAATTATGCTATAATTGCATATTTATTCCTGGCATTTCAAAGACTCTTTTTGGTCACTTTCCCAGCAATGATATGAAGAAAACAGCTTGAAGAGTGGCCCACACTACTCATTCCTGAGATATATACTTCTTTACAATTAAGATATAGTTGCTCTAGAAGTAGTTGCTCTGGAAACCAAGAAATTTGGATTGCATTTCAGTGCTATTTAATCTAAACAAATATACGTTCTAATGCCAAAATCCACTTTTTTTTTCAGAATTATGTGACAGCACAAAATGTGTATAAAGAAGCATGAATTTAGAGACAAAATTCAGAAAAACCCATATATGTAAAAATCACTTGTCCATAATTCACATGCAAGTACAATATATTAAACGCATTATGAGAAATGTACATAAACATTAACACAATATTTGTGTATTCTTTAAAATAATAAAATGACATGGATTATAGGTTGAACAAATTTCGACTGGAAAAACTGAGCAAAACTGTAATTCATATTCACCCAATTTTAGATAAACCCATTCAACATGCATACAGGGAGAGCTGCTCTTGTGATAAAATGGAAGCTGCTATGTATCGGACACAATGTTAGCTTTGAACAATATAGACTCAGAAACATACCAAATCCCAAGACAAGTAAATTAGTTTTACGTGTACAAGTAGTGCTCAACTTACAACAGTTCGTTTAGTGACAGTTCAAAGTTATAATGGCACTGAAAAAAGTGACTGACAGGTGTTGCAGCATCCCCATGCCACGTGATCAAAATTCAGATGCTTGGCAACTGACTCATATTTACAATGTGTCCTGGGGTCATGACAAGCAAATTCAATCAGGAAACCGGATTCACTTAATAACGGTGTTACTAACTTAACGACTGCAGTGATTTACCTAATAACTGTGGCAAGAAATGTCATAAAATGGGGCAAAACTCACTTAACCATCTCGTTTAGCAACATAGAGGTCAACTGTGGTCGCAAGTTAAGGACTACCTGTATTTTGACATAGACATATGAATAACAGATTATTCTCAGTGTGAGGATAAAGCAGTGTGAATTCAGTTTTCATTTTACTTGCATGAAGCATAACTCCAATTATGAACATTTAAAAGAGCCCAGAGTTTAGTGCCCCCCCCAAAAAAATAAATTCCACTTAGCTTGAAAACTCACATATAAACCCCATTCAACCGCTGGATACTCTCTCACCTCAGCAGAGCCTTAATTACAGCCCTACCCCTAACTCACGTTTAAACAGATCTCTGAGCTTCATTCGGGAAAGGAGAGCATGAGGGACCTTCTGGGTGACCTTTCCGTTGCTGTGGAGATAGAGAAATCACCGAGGCAACTACCCTGCTCCTCCCCTCCCAGCATCCCTTGACAGTCACCATCTGCTGCTGGGTGAGAAATGGAGCTTGCCAGGCTGACTGCAACCCCAGGTTGACCAAAAAAGATAGTCAACCTAACTATTCTGGCCAACTCACAGCATCGAGACTTGGCATTCCAAAATATCAGAGTTCTTCCTTAATATGCAGCAAGACAGAGGCAAGAAAGATCTCAGAAAGCTAATACTGTGTTCTAGTTTATACACTGCTCAAAAAAATAAAGGGAACACTTAAAACAACACAATGTAACTCCAAGTCAATCGCACTTCTATGAATTCAAACTGTCCACTTAGGTAGCAACACTGATTGATCAATT